TGTTTATACTTTTAGCAGCTCTTTTTATTCCACAGCTGACCTGCTAAAAATGACAGATTTTCTTTTCTGGATCTCTGACAGACGGACTTCAATCTCTGAACCTGTAAAGTTTTTCTTTTTTCAGTTTTCGCTGTCATTTTTCATGAATGAACACTTCTTTGTATCTGATGTAGGAAACACAGCCTTATATGGTGTTTTTGGGGTGGTAATTATGCTAATCTCCTCTCGCGTGCACGAGCAGCTGGATAGAACAGGTGGAAATTACGCAGCTCATTTATGCACTTTTCCTGAAGATAGAAGMGTTTGTTGAATCTGACGTGACATGTTCGTACGAACCCTTTGTACGAACATTGTTCTGTCTGGTCCAAGCTTCAGCTGTCAGACAGATGGTCTCACATTAGACTAAAGTCCTTTGGTCTCCAGAGTTTGGAGCCCAGGTATTGTGGCTGCAAAATAAATGAATGAGTAAATCATACTTTATTGAATGAAAGTTCAATGAAGGAAAATTACATAAATGGAAATTACAGTTCGGAACAACCCATTCAAGAGATATAAGAAGAACAGGTGCCCCAGGTCCAGCAGCCATGCAAGGCGGTACCCTTAAAAGAAAAATTACAAGTCCAAATAATAACCACTCCACCACTGTACTTTACAGTTGCTAAAAAATGTTTGTGCTGATAYGCTGTGTTTCTATCAATCATGTTGCTCTGCCTTATGAGCAAACATGTCTACTTTGGTCTATTTGTCCAAAGGACATTGTTTCAGAAAACCTGTGTTTTATTAAGACCAACCTAAGCCATGCCACCATGGTCCTTTTAGAGAGTACGGACAGATTACCTGTGTTCTGTTATAGAGTTGATCCAGTTTTGTTTGGATACTGTTGATGGTGTCCTTCATGTGTGGCTGAGCTGAATCTGCAGCAATAGAGGCTCCGGTCAAGACATGCCTAGAAAAAGAGAGGTTTACAATTTTGTCCAAGATTTACTTTTACTTTATACATTTACATTTTATTTAGTAGAAAACATCAGGGTAAGTACAACCAAATGAAGCTGATGTGGCTGTTTATGMTGTGTACTATAAATGAACTTCTTCTGGCTTTCATCTGTATATTTAAATCAAGTAGGATAGCATCTCCCAATACGCCTATCAAATGCGATTAACATTGACATTCCGGAAATAATATACAGTACAGTGTGCTGAATGTGCTTTGTGTAACAAGTACAAAAAACAGCATTTGAGTTTCCTGGATTTTTTTAAACAAGATTCCARCATGCATTTGAACACACTTCAGACAGTAAAACATGCGCTTGATGGATTGAAAACATCATTMACATACAGCCTTTGGTTTATGCCGTTTAGGGTGGTCTGCATGTTGCGGAGGTTGTTGGTTAGACCGCGGACGGTGTCCTCGAGCTGCCGGATTCGGTCCGTGTCTCCTTAAAATCCATGAAACAACAAATAACACAATTTTGAGCAGAGAAGCTTTAAATTTGTGCTACTTTCTCTTTGTGCTAGCAAAGCAATTTTTCTTTCTAGCTGGGAAATCACAATGTTCACATGACACCAAGAAATCCTCTTTAGATTATAGAAAATCTAGGATTCAAGCWATTTTTCAGGGTTTCTCTCCTTTAGTAAAACGGTTCTGCCATTTCTGTGGAACAGGGGTCTCCAGCCACAGTACAGCACTCAGCAGGCCTCGTGAGCTCATTTAAAGCAGCTCTTCAGTGCTTATGAAAAATTAGGAGAAGCAAAATTTAATTTGTCACTGGCCAAATAAACTTTCATTTAATTCCAATCAATCTATAGATGTCCCTTTCCCTTGGTTGTCAATCAAACAGTTTAGGGCTCAGTATGGTTGATTGGCAGACAACGCACAGTTACGTGGTTGTTCGGTGTTCGTTTTCACAYACACCTTTCATAGCCCCTTGAGACATACTGTGCCAAACTCCTGGAAAACCCCTCCCACTGCAGTATATGTCAATGCACGGGGTTTCTTCCTGCTGGAGCCTACAATGCGAAAAAAAATCAGAGACCCGTCACCCGACATTATTTGTCTACAAATCTGTTGCAGTTAAACCCTAAGTTATTAGTGTGAAATACACTTTAATATGAATGGATATGAAGGAAATTCTGTAACTGATTAATTGAACGTTAGATGCAGTATTGTATTTTATACTTTCTGATCATTTCAGCCTTTAAGTTAAAGCAAACAAAGAGTTGGTGTCTAATGTGTTCTTTCTTTAGCCTAAACAACGAGTTACTTTCTGACGTCTGACATAAAAGGTAACACCTCCAGGTGTAACCAGGAAGAGATGCACATTATAAGCTCAGTTCATTATTATAGTAAAAAAAAGTTGTTAGTGTTGCAGAGTCTCTGCTCAGAGCAGAGCTCCTATGTTTTTTGTTTTGTTTTCAGCCCAAGGTCTTACACTGAGGCCTGCTGAGTGCTGTACTGTGAACCTGATAGGAATCAGAAGATTAAAAATAAAGTTTTTAAGAAAAAATCCAGTTGGATTTCTGTTTATTCAGACATACCATTTTGAACAACAGATAAACACAAAACGCACGTAAATTCAGTGTTCTTTGTGGTGGGTTTTATGTGAACTGAAGACAATGACTTTTTTGTTCAAAACAAGCTTATCTTTATCTTAATGGTTTAAGTTTAAAATTTTTAAAAAGTAGTTTAAAAATTAGCTCTAGGACAGTTTCATTTCGTAAAAGTAGCTCTTAAGGAAAAAGGGTTGGAGATCCCTGCTCTAGAACCACTCATTGGCTGTTTCTCAAGTCAGGGGCTGCATCCTCCTTAGTGCGCATTTGCCAGCCACTTACATCACTACCCTGTGCTGAAGGCTGTCCCAATTCAGGCGGTATAAATCCAAAAAACTCAAAGAATGCATCCCTAAAATACATCACATTAATGCTGTTAGTGTAACACAGCTACATATTTCAGGAGAATAACTGATCACAGCAATGTCCTACCATTCCCATATGCTAAATACTTTGAAGGACAATATAACCTAGAGGCATTAGACATAGTGCATTATGCTATCTAATATATCAAAAGTATAAAACACATATTTCAAAAACCTAAAAGCAGTGTAGTCTAGATCAGGGGTTCTCAAACGTTTTGGGTCTAGGGTGAAAATTTCCAGGGACCCCCTTTACACTCATTAGCTGCGTTTCCATTGCAAATGTGCGCAAAATGGTTTGTCAAAAAAACACCGTTTCGCAATTGCAGTGTTTCCATTAAATAAGCAATACTATTAAAGTCACGCGTGAATACATTTGTTCTCGCGACAAGTCATTACAAACATGGCGGCAATGGATGTAAACACATACAGTAGCATATAGCAAAAATTATTTTCTTGATTTGATGTTTCAATTTTTCGTTGCTTATGTGTAATTATGTTTTTCTGTTTCGTTTTATTCTTTCCACCATTTTTATACTGTTAATGATTGTACAGCACCTTGTGAAAAAATTTCTGTGAAAGGCGCTTTATAAATAAAACTTTTCTTACTTACTTACTTACTTACTTACTTACTTACTTACTTACTTAC